GAGGTTGTGGGGAGCCAAGATGGTGCCATTGCACTCCAGCCTGGTCAACAAGAGCAAAACTCAGTCTCAAAAAAAAATAAAAAAATAAAAGAGCTAGTTGGTGCTGGGACCAAGGTGAGTTTGGATTTTCTCATAAGTGTGATGAGATGCCAATGGGGTGTTTTAGGCAGTGACATGATCTGATTTCCTCATCTGTAAAATGGGGATAATCCTTGCAGTTTTGTGAAGATGGCAGACATCTGTAAATGACTGCCCAACATGTTACAGGCACTCAATAAGTAAAAATTATTGGGCTGGGTACGGTGGCTCATGCCTGTAATTCCAGCACTTTGGGAGGCCGAGGTGAGCGAATCGCCTGAGGTCAGGAGTCCGAACACGGTTCGCTAACATGGTTGGCTAACATGGTGAAACCCCATTTCTACTAAAAATACAAAAAATTAGCCGGGCGTGGTGGCACACGCCTGTATCCCAGCTACTCCACAGGCTGAGGCCCGGGAATGTTTGATCTGGAGTAGGAGTTGGCCAGTGTGCTGACGATCGGTTGCCATCACCAGGCTTGGGCAACATGAGGGAACCCTTCTCAAAAAAAAAAAAAAGAAAAATGAGAAATTATGACGCTACTTTAATTTATTAAATAAAGGGAGTTTAATACTTGTGGAAACGTTCATTGCTTCGCTGTGGTTTAGATATTAAATGGTTCCCTAAATACAAACAATGGCCTGACTCTAGGTATAGTTTTGTCCTATAGCTGCAAAATTCTAGGTTATCAGCAATACAGAAGGCTGTTAAAATAGCAAAACTGGGGTTGGTACGGCTAGCTCACGCATGTAAACCACACTCATTGGGAGAGGTGGGAAGCGACGCTGGATTTACTGAGGTCAGGACGTTCAAGAACCCAGCCTGATTAATATTACTGAACCCATCCTCTACTAATAAAACAAAAATTAGGAGTGTGGTGGGCATGCTGTATCCCCCAGTACTCGGGAACTGGGGCAGGGAGGAATGTTGAAACCGGGGGGCCGAGGTTTCGGTGAGGAATACTGCCTTGACTCCGCCCCTGGGCAAAGGCGAACTCGTCTCAAAAAAAAAAAAAAATAAAAAAAATTAGCTGGGGTGGTGGTAGCGGCGGCGCCTGTCAGTCAGCTATCGGGAGGCTGAGGCAGGAGAATTGCTTGAACCCGGGAGGCGGAGGCTGCAGTGAGCCCAGATCGTGCCAGTGCACTCCAGCCTGGGCGACAGAGCGAGACTCCATTCCAAAAAAAAAAGAAAGAAAGAAATGCAAACTGGTAGGCCCCACGTCAGACCCATCGAACCTCTGGGGATGGGGCCTAGGAAGTTGTGTTTTAACAAACTCTCCAGGTGAAGTCGGAGAAGCCCTGCTCTATGGCAACTTAATTAGAGCCCCACAGATTGGCAGATTATTTTAACTCATGGCAGAATAAATGGATGACAGTTAAAAAAAAGTCAGCGGTTTTTTTTTCCCCAATGTTCACAGATGTTCATGTTCCTGTCTTAATGCTTTCTAGCCCCCTTTAGCCCCGTTCTTACCAGCTAGATTGTTGTAGCAGTCAGTCTGGGTGGTATGCAGTATGTTTTCTTGTTCAGGCGTGAGGGCCGGGCCCTGAGGTCCGAGATTAGGTAATGGAGAGGGCAGACTCGGATCCAGACCCCGCAGCTGAAGCAGAGCTCGATGGTACCTACTCACAGCATCTCGGTACTTCCCTTCCCGGTAGCGCTGGTTCCCTTCCTCCTTGTACAGCTGAGCCTCCTGCAGACGCTTCTCCATAACTGTCGCCCAGGGTTCTTGGGAAATTGCTAAGTGAAGGAGCAATTGAAGCTCTAGGGTTGGGAACAAAATAATTGACTGTAGTAGCCAATTCAAGAAGGCAGGAAATTACTCTTCTTCCTGGAGGGTCCCCCAACAGGGACCTGCGGTTTGCTTGTTGCTACTCACAGCCCCACCTCTCCTTTCTGCAGTCTTTTTCTCCAGAAGTGCAGGCAAGTAGTTAGGAAGGGGATGTGGGAATAATGAACCCAAACATTAAGGGACTTCCTAAAAAGACGATGGGGGCGGGGGGTGTGGAGACTTTCCGAAAAACTCAAGCGACGCCCTACTCAGAAATTGTTACGGGCGTGAGACCGCCGGGCACACTGGCTTCCGCCTTTCTTTCGGACCCGCCCCCCGACCTGGAAGTAGAAGGGAGTGGGTGGGACTAGTGCTAAAAGTTCGGAGGCTTGAAGCAATTCCAACTCTTCTTCCTTATTCAGCAATCATTTATCTGTTGACGTCAGTAATATAAACTGGGAAACCGAGGTGAACCACCACCAAGGGAGACTGAGGTGTCCACATAAGCGTCACAGCTGCAAGCCCACCCAGCGCCGCGACCAGTTCCTCGCCCTCAGCAGATGCCCAAGCCTGGAACTCTCCCAGGCTTCGGTGTACCGGCGGGAGCACGTCAGAAATGCGGACAGTTTGGTATCTTAAAGGGTGGCGAGCATTGCGCCACATCGCCCAATCAGAAGAGGCTCCGGAAAAATAATCCCGCAGAAACGACCCCGCCTCCTCAGCGAACCAAACGGGGCGGGGGGAGGGAAAAAAAAAATCCCCTGGCAGCTTCGCCAATTGGAAAAATCCGGACGATCATGGATGACCAATCGGAACGGCAAATGACGATTCAAGTTGTCCAATAAGAGAAAAAGGGCGGGGTCAAGGCCTCAGTTGCTGGGTAGAAGTTGAGGCATTGCGAAAAAAGGAGGGCCCGTGATTACTGTATTTCTTGGTTCTGGGGAGTCCTTTTGCTTCCTAGCCAGAAACACAATTGCTAGTAGGCTTACATGTTGCAACACATTCTCTTTTGACTTTTTTTGTCGTTACTGCTGCAAGCATAGACAGTAGGAAAAAGAGGCTAGCGACCCCAAGACGCCTTAGCAATTGGAAGTGAGACGGAAGTAACAGTAGTGGGAGGGGCAATGGCATCAGGGAGCTCCGCGCGGCTGCGCAGAACCCCCCAGCTGGAAGTACAGAAAGACCGGCGCGCACACGCTTCCGTGCTACGAGGCACTTGAGCCGCAGCCAGCCTTGCCCGTCTTGGACTCCACTGCGGCTGCGCGGTAAAAGCACCGGCGGCGATTGGCCCGGGGAAGCCAGGGGGCGGGAGGAAGCGGGAGGAACTCCGTCGTCCTCCGCGCGCGCCTGCCCGCGGCTGGGGAACCGAAGGCCTGGAGGGAAAACAGCTCCCCGCGGCGTTGTTTTGGGCTCCGTGAGCCGAAAGGGGGAGGGGAGAGGAAGCAGAAGCAAACACTGCGCAGTGGGACCGTGCGCGGCCTCCGCTCCTGCGTGCGTGCGCTCGCTCGCGCGGGCTTAGTGCTGGCGCGTGAGGCGGAGGCGGGAGGCGGCGGCGGCGGCGGCGCCTGCGCGGTCGGACTCGGTCGACGGTTCGCAGGGGAGGAGGCGGCGGGAGGCGGAGGAGGCGGCGGCGGCGATGGAGGTGAAGCGGCTGAAAGTGACCGAGCTGCGGTCAGAGCTGCAGCGGCGGGGCCTGGACTCGCGCGGCCTCAAAGTGGATCTGGCGCAGCGGCTGCAGGAGGCGCTGGACGCCGAGATGCTCGAGGACGAGGCCGGCGGCGGCGGGGCCGGGCCCGGCGGGGCCTGCAAGGCGGAGCCTCGGCCTGTGGCCGCGTCGGGCGGCGGCCCGGGCGGGGAGGAGGAGGAGGACGAAGAGGAGGAGGAGGAGGACGAGGAGGCGCTGCTTGAGGACGAGGACGAGGAGCCACCCCCTACTCAGGCCTTGGGTCAGGCCGCGCAGCCGCCGCCGGAGCCCCCGGAGGCGGCAGCCATGGAGGCCGCAGCCGAGCCAGATGCTTCCGAGAAGCCGGTGGAAACCACGGTCGGGTCAGGCGGGGTAAATGGTGGCGAAGAGCAGGGCCCCGGCAAGGGGGAGGAAGACGAACCCGAGGAACGGAGCGGGGACGAGACGCCGGGATCCGAGGTGCCGGGTGACAAGGCCGCCGAGGAACAGGGTGAGGAGCTGGCAGCCGAGCCCGGCTCCAACCTGCCGGCTGCTCCCCTGATCTAGCACCCCGCCCTGCACCGCGGGGTCCGAGTCCTTGCTTTCGCTTGCCTCAAAGTGCCATCTGATGGAATGCCTTTCATTCTCTGCCCACCTTTCTGAGGGGTTAGACCGCCCCTCGTGGTCCTACTCTTTGCAGGAGGAAGGTTCCTGCCTAACTTGGTTCCTTGGTGATAGTGGATGGCAGTGAGTGATTTTGTATGCGAACTGCTTGTGAGCTACCTGTGGAACAGTCTCCCACGGTGCTTGTTATATTTTTCTTAGTTGAGAACGTGCTAAGCAATTGGGGATTACACGGAGAACTCGGCCCACGGTTAGAGGGTCAGGCCTTTGGACTACCTGTTAACTTTTTCACCGTAAAAATGTTAAGCGAAAATCGAAGTCCGTCAAAGTCCGCTCAGTTAAAAGCATGTTACCAGAGCTTGAGCCAGAGAATCTGAAAATCCAACTTTGCTCTTCTTTGAGCTGTAGGGGAGAGCTTCTAGTGTAACACTGTCGAGTTTAATAGTTAACTAGTGAAGAGAAAACGTTAATCATGTGCATTTAGAGTTAGTTAACGTTACTTGGCTAGGGTTTTTATCTTGCTTGGATTATGATTACATTTTAATTCTCCCACTGAGTCCGTGGATGGGCATGTTTGTAGATTTGCTGAATACCTGGTGCTAGCCTTTTACATTTCAGGTCCCTCGTTTCCTGACTGGTAATGATTGAGGTGCTGGTGGGTCCGTTGAGTAAGCTTGTGGAAGAGTGTGTTGTAGAATTGCCCCAGGGAGTTAGTGACCTTTCTCCTTTCTTTTGAAGTGATTGGATGATTACAGCTGATCCATAACACTATGTCAGAGTAGGGAGGATAAGTCTTACTATAAGGTGGGTGGCCTTAGTTCTTTTGTTAGTCATTTTTTTAGGCCACTAACCGAGAGTCTGAACCCATTGTACAACAATCACATGCAACTTGCAGATTGTTTGTCCTGTGTCCTGGAACAAAAATCCCATTACATAACCTTTGACTTATGTGTATCCTAAAGAGCAGATAAAAATATTGAAGGATAGGCTGGGTGTGGTGGCTCACGCCTGTAATCCCAGCACTTTGGGAGGCCAGACGGGTGGATCACCTGAGGTCAGGAGTTCGAGACCAGGCTGGCTAACATGGTGAAACCCTGTCTCTAGTAAAAATACAAAAAATTAGCCGGTCGTGATGGCGGGTGCCTGTAATCCCAACTTCTTGGGAGACTGAGGCGGGAGAATGGCTTGAACCGGGGAGGCAGAGGTTGCAGTGAGCCGAGATCACAAGACTGCACTCCAGCCTGGGCACGACAGAACAAGACTCCATCTCAAAAACATATATATTGAAGGATAAAAGATTTTTAAAGAAATTATTACTAAAAACCTTAGTGTTGCAAAATGCAAAAGCCTAGGGAAAAATTCCAGGGTTTTTCCTCTTGTAGAGAATGTTGCTAAATGTACAACACCACCTTTCTGCCCCAAATTATGTGCAGTATAGATGTGGTATTATTTATGGATCTCTTATGACTTAGTGGTTTGCTCTTACAACTTTCAGTAGAAGTCCCTGGTAAAAATACAACTATGTTTAATGCACTTGAGTCCATTTGGCTGTGCATTTCAAAGCAGGAAAGGGAAAAGAAAAATTGAGGCTTCTCTGTATCATGAAGTTGTGGAAAAGTGTTACAAAATACGTATTAACTGCCTACCTTAAATCTAGATCTGACAAGAGTCAAATTAACCTTTGAAGTTTTTTTAGAGACCTAGGGGATATTTTTTATGTCATATTGTTGGGGAAATCTGCAAGTTTGACCTGATTTAAGTGGATAAATTTAGAATGCAAAAATTGTCCAATTTTTATCTACTGCTTGACTGTAATTAGCCCATGTCCCTTTTTTAAAAAATAAAATAAAATCACAGCCAATGACAGAAAGATGATCTTTAGAAATAAAATGTTCTGTGAATGTAGTGGGAATAACCTAGTTGTTTTGATCAGACAGATTCTCAGATTCCCTGTTAGTGTCTATTAGTTCTGAGCTTATTCTACACTCCAGTATGAAAACTGCTGATTTTCTTTCCCTCGTTTTTGTAGGAGATGACCAAGATAGTGAAAAGTCAAAACCAGCAGGCTCAGATGGTGAGCGGCGGGGGGTAAAGAGACAGCGGGATGAGAAGGATGAACATGGCCGAGCTTACTATGAATTCCGAGAGGAGGCTTACCACAGCCGGTGAGGGAAACAGTCCCTTTCCTTGAAGGGAGTGTCTGCTCTGATTTTGGTATACCTGGTATTGACTGGAGAGACTGGAAGGAGGGTGGATTCAAAATGGAATAGGTTTTTATAGGCATGAGTTTTAGATTGCATCTACCATGGAAACTCCTATTGCCCTTTCTCATTTATTGAAAAAAGCTGTCTGCTGGGATTTGATATTCACTGATAGTTTAAAATGGACATAATGTCATACACACACCTCTCAAAGAAGAGGACTTTGTTTACATTGTGTTTCTTTTCTATCTTACATATATAGCTCAAAGTCTCCACTGCCTCCTGAAGAAGAGGCAAAAGATGAGGAGGAGGATCAAACTCTTGTGAACCTGGACACGTGTATGTATAAGGCAGACAGATTGTGGTTTTTAACTAATCTCCTAAAAGTGATTTTGGAGATTAAAACTTCATAGCCTATAAATTCTATGAGACTTTGTATCCACTTCAACAACTGGCTACACTTGTGCTCTGTTGGTGGCTTACAAGTATTGGACATTGGAGTAAACTGATTGCTTCTTTCTTTACAGATACCTCGGATCTGCATTTTCAAGTGAGCAAAGACCGCTATGGAGGGCAGCCCCTTTTCTCAGAGAAGTTCCCCACCCTTTGGTCTGGGGCAAGGAGTACTTACGGAGTGACAAAGGGAAAAGTCTGCTTTGAGGCAAAGGTAGCTCATTAAGACCATTCATTCATTTATTCCTGGATAATTACAGTTCTTAGGGAGAAAAAAAAGATTTTTTTTTTTTTTTTTGAGACGGAGTTTCGCTCTTGTTACCCAGGCTGGAGTCCAATGGCACCATCTCGGCTTACCACAGCCTCTGCCTCCCAGGTTCAAGTGATTCTCCTGCCTCAGCCTCTCAAGTAGCAGCTAGGATTACAGGCATGCACCACCACACCCGGCTAATTTTGTATTCTTAGTAGAGATGGGGTTTCTCCATGTTGGTCAGGCTGGTCTTGAACTCCCGACCTCAGGTGATCCGCCCGCCTTGGCCTCCCAAAGTGGTGGGATTATAGGCGTGAGCTACCACACCTGGCCGAGGAACAAAGATTTTTTTTAAAAGACCTTTCATTTATTCATTAAACTACTACCTATGTATACTGGACTTCTGTCCAATCAGGCTTTTATTAGTGCAGGTAGGTAAAAGCACTGTGCTTTAACAAGAACCTTAGTTTCAGTAACCAAGAAATTGATCCCTGTGGCTTTCAGTTCAGTGACTGTTATTCTGATGTTGAGATAATTGTTGTTTTCAGTTTGTATAAAAATCGTATCTTTCTAACTCCGAGTTTGCTACTCAGTTGGTCACAGTATCTAATAGTTCCCTTTCTGACTTGGCCAGGTAACCCAGAATCTCCCAATGAAAGAAGGCTGCACGGAGGTCTCTCTCCTTCGAGTTGGGTGGTCTGTTGATTTTTCCCGTCCACAGCTTGGTAAGGTTATTTCTTTAACTTCTTCATTAGTGTTTACTACCATATTGCTTACTCTGTGGCAAGTCGGGATGTAGGTAACTAATTTGTTGACTGTTCTAGGTGAAGATGAATTCTCTTACGGTTTCGATGGACGAGGACTCAAGGCAGAAAATGGACAGTTTGAGGAATTTGGCCAGACTTTTGGGGAGAATGATGTTATTGGCTGCTTTGCTGTGAGTGCTCCTGAAAGTCGCGGGTCATAACAAGGAGTGGATAGAGGGCACTGGGAATTCACTGTGCCTCCCATCAACTATTGGTTTTTATGCATATGATGCGTGGCTTGCTTAGTCTGTGTGAAATTGTGCAGCAGTCTGTGTGAAAAAAGATTAAATTGTAAAGTTTAATCAACCTGAAGCCTTGTCAGCCAATAAGTGCTCTTGTCCTTTGTCATTGTAGAATTTTGAGACTGAAGAAGTAGAACTTTCCTTCTCCAAGAATGGAGAAGACCTAGGTGTGGCGTTCTGGATCAACAAGGAATCCCTGGCAGACCGGGCCCTTCTACCCCATGTCCTCTGCAAAAATTGTGTTGTAGAATTAAACTTTGGTCAGAAGGAGGAGCCCTTCTTCCCACCACCAGAAGAGTTTGTGTTCATTCATGCTGTGCCTGTTGAGGAGCGTGTGCGCACTGCAGTCCCTCCCAAGACCATAGAGGAATGTGAGGTATGCCAAACAGTATACAAACACTGAGGTTGTATGCTTTGCAGAGGTGGGTGCATATGCTCTCCCAGGTCTCAGAGCATTACCAAACAGGAATGGGAGAATGTTCTTAAATTGGATTTGATAAACATGACCCTCACTTATCTTTCATTATATTTCTGGCTCTGTGTTTTGCAGGTTATTCTGATGGTGGGACTACCGGGATCTGGAAAGACCCAGTGGGCACTGAAATACGCAAAAGAAAACCCTGAGAAAAGATATAATGTCCTGGGAGCTGAGACTGTGCTCAATCAAATGAGGGTTAGTTGCTGTTGGGGATATTTGTCAGATACAGTATTTGCTCTTCAGATACCAAGAGACTCTTATAACCTATCTTTAATGGAGAGTTAGTTTCAGGTGTCTGAGAACAAGGGTCCCATAAATAGAGAAATGAGATTTTTCTCTCTATGTGTTTTAGGTGGGTTTATTTTTGTTTTTCTTTGCTGTGTTGTCACATTTCTGAAAGCACATAAGATCTGAAATACATCCAGGTTAAGACTGGAAATGACTACTGCAGGAAATGGACAACATTCACAGCACTGAAGAACAGGAATAGAATGATATCATAGATTCAGTATTTGAAGAGGTGACATGTACCAGTGACTCTTGGGCTCTAACTTGATATATAACTTGTGTGTTTTTTTTCCCACCACTTCTCAAACTAATCAGATGAAGGGGCTCGAGGAGCCAGAGATGGACCCCAAAAGCCGAGACCTTTTAGTTCAGCAAGCCTCCCAGTGCCTTAGTAAGCTGGTCCAGATTGCTTCCCGGACAAAGAGGAACTTTATTCTTGATCAGGTATTAAACTGATAAAATTGCCTAGAGTCAATGTGGGGTGTGTATATAAAGAGAGACTGAATTAAGATCAGCTTACCTAATTATGATCATCTGATTGTGTGTTAATGGTTGCAATGTTTTTTGAACTCAGGGGTACCCCTGATTAGTGTTTTTACCTGAAAATATATGGACCCAGGCTCTAAAACATGTAATAAAAACAATGGAAAGAGTTGGAACTCATTTGAATTCCTGGCTCCACCACATTCTGGTTTGTAATTTGGATAAGTCCTTTATCCTCTCTGAACCTCAGTTTCTTGATGAGCAAAACAGGTTAATACCTGTCATGTAGTTTGAAAAGTTAAAGAAGATCATGTATATTGATCCCTCATCTCATGTCTTCTGAGTTACCAAAGATACTGAGTCTTTTTTTTTTTTTGGAGATGGGGTCTCATTCTGTTGCCCAGGCCGGAGTGCAGTGGCGCAATCTCGGCTCGCTGCAAGCTCCACCTCCCAGGTTCACACTATTCTCCTGCCTCAGCCTCCGGAGTAGCTAGGACTACTGGCGCCCGCCACCATGCCTGGCTAATTTTTTGTATTTTTAGTAGAGACAGGGTTTCACCGTGTTAGCCAGGTTGGTCTTGATTTCCTGACCTCATGATCCACCTGCCTCAGCCTCCCAAAGTGCTGGGATTACAGGATTACAGGCTTGAGCCATCGCACCCGGCCTTTTTTGTTTTTTTGAAGATGGAATATTGCTCAGCCACCACACAGGCTGGAGTGCAGTGGTGCAATCTCGGCTCACTGCAACCACCATCTCCCGGGTTCAAGCGATTCTCCTGTCTCAGTCTCCCAAGTAGCTGGGATTACAGCACCCGCCATCATGCCCAGTTAATTTCTGTATTTTAGTAGAGATGAGGTTTCACCATGTTGGCCAGGCTGGTCTTGAACTCCTGACCTGAGATGATCTGCCCACCTTGGCCTCCCAAAGTGCTAGGATTACAGGCGTGAGCCACTGTGCCTGGCTGATACTGATTCTTTTGGTTAAATTTGAGTGATAATTTTCTTCCAAAACATCAGTTATTCCTCCTGTTCTTAGTGTAATGTGTACAATTCTGGCCAACGGCGGAAGCTATTACTGTTCAAGACCTTTTCTCGGAAAGTGGTGGTGGTTGTCCCTAATGAGGAAGACTGGAAGAAGAGGCTGGAATTGAGGAAGGAAGTAGAGGGAGATGATGTGCCTGAATCTATAATGCTGGAGATGAAAGGTGGGTGTCTTAGTCCATTTTCTGCTGCTATAACAGAATATCACAGACTTTGTAATTTACAAATGTAATAGAGGTTTATTTCCCTCATGGTTCTGGAGGCTGGGAAGTCCAAGAGCACAGCACTGGCATCTGATGAGGTCCTTTTTGCTGCATCATTCCATGGCAGGAGGGCAAAAGGCAAGAGGGCAAATGTGAGAGAACTTGCTTTTATAACAAAGCCGCTCTCACAATAACGGCATTAATCTATTCATGAGGATGGAACCCTCATGACCAGCTCACATTAAAAGTCCCACCCTTTCAACACTGCTCATTGGGGATTAAGTTTCCAACATTTGTACTTTGGTGGGACATAACTCAAACCATAGCAGTGGGCTAAAATTGTACAAGTTAAAGAGATTTTATCCCTGGTCAGTGCACACCTTATTGAAGCCTCTTAGCACCTGGAGTGACACTCTACATCTAAAATATAAATCTAAAGAGGAACTTAATGGTTACAAGCACTTGTAGGTGAATGAATGAGCAGAGAGAAGCAGTAACCCCTTGACTCATTGTTTTCTTGGTTTGGTTTGGTTTGGTTTGGTTTTGAGACAGAGTGTCACCCCGTTGCCCAGCTTGGAGTGCAGTGGTGTGATCTCAGCTCACTGCAACATCTACCTCCTGGGTTCAAGCGATCCTCTTGCTTCAGCCTCCCAAGTAGCTGAGATTACAAGCATGTGCCACCATGCCTAGCTAATTTTTGTGTTTTTAGTAGAGATGGTGTTTCATCATATTGCCCAGGCTGGTCTTGGAACTCCTGACTTCAGTTGATTTGCCTGCCTTGGTCTCCCAAAGTGCTGAGATTACAGGCATAAGCCGCTGCACCCAGCCGCCTTGACTCGTTTTTTTT